CTCTGTCCTCTAGGGGCGCTGTGGGTCAGAATGGACTCCACGGCAGTGGGTGTGGTTTGGGCTTTGTGTCTGTGAAGATTGACAGCCTTGGGGACCCTGTGCTGCAGTTCCACTCTGCCCTCTAGGGGCGCTGTGGGTCAGACTCCACTCCAGGAAGTGGGGACTGGGTTCTGAAGGGTTAACAGGCTTGGGTGAACATGGTAAGACCAAGTCCTTTTCTCCCTGGAAGCATTGAGTGGAGCCCCATTCCCACTGCATAGTCTGTTAATCCCTTTCAATGTTTAAGGATGTATTTTTGTAATTCTTTTATTTAGATTCCCAAACAAAATAAAGTTATAAGAAATTGTCCTTTGTATCATTTTGAAGTCTTCCTTGAGTTTACTTTGTGTTTGTTTCCGCCGCAGTGTTTTTCCCTTCCTGTGACTGCAGTTTATTTAAAATGTTGTGGATATTGTAAAGACCCAACTCTTTTTATTATTATTATTAAAATATAATTTATGTACAGTGAAACACAAAACTAAAATGACATGGGTCAGTGAATTTCCTACCTTGATTTGTGTACTGATCTACTTGTTTTGTCAGATTGCACATTGTCCGCTCTTTTTTTTATTGTTGCTTAATACTCTGGAGGGAGCTCTGGTAGCATAGTGGCTAAGGCACTTGACTGCTAACCAGGAGGGTCTCCAAAGCTGTAACTCTTAATGGAGGCAGACCACCACATCTCTCTCTCCTGCAGAGCAGCCGGTGAGGTCCAACCACTGACCATTTGGTTGGCAGCTGAGCACTTAACCACTGTGCCACCAGGGCTCCAACATAGATCTCTCCCACCCCTCCCTGAGTGAACCTGTCATTTGAAGAGAGGTGGAGGCCACAGTCCTTCCCATCCCCCTCATCCGTCTGTCCGAGCCTGTCCTCCTGCCCCCATCTTACAGCCGGACCCTCCCCACATCCCCAGGAAGGGAGGGGTGAAGTGTCCTGACCGTAGGGCCTGAGGAGTCGGTCACTTCCGGCCACTCTTGTTGCCATGGGGAAACGTCCACAGCAGCCCACGTCTTGCCTGAGGTGCACAGCAATTCTGAGGCAGAGCTGTGGGTCATGCTGGCTTTGCTCCCCATCCAGGGCTGGTCCTCAGCCCAGGTCCGGCTGCACACGGTGGCCTCACACAGGGACTGCCCAGCGAGGTTGAACAGACTGCTGCCTGGAACCACTCAGACTTTTATCTTACTGGTAAAGGAGCCTTCCTGGCACAGTGGTTAAAGCACATGGCTGCTACGGAAAGATCTGCGGGTGGCACCCGCCAGCCACCCCGCAGGAGAAGGGTGAGGCTTCCCTACATGTGTATAACCTCCTCGGAAGGAAGGTTGGGCAAGCCTACTTCCATAGTGATACTGCTTCAGAAACCCAAGGAGGGGTCGCTATGAGTCGGGGCCAACTCAATGGCACATAACAACAACAACAACATACTCTGTGGGGCAGTTCCACTCTGTCCTCTAGGGGCGCTGTGGGTCAGAATGGACTCCAGGCAGTGGGTGTGGTTTGGGCTTGGCTTCTGTGAAGACTGACGGCCTTGGAGC